TTCCATCGTTTAACTATGCACTGAGTGAAGATGTACTCTCCTTTGTCTGTCTTGAGTCGACAAACGTTCACCGAATGCACACACTACACCTTTAAAGCACATTCAAAGTCTACTTTTTTTCTTCTTCAGGTGAATTCTGGGCACTGTAAGAGTTGGTGGGAACAGTAGCTCTGTGAGGGTATTCTTGGAAGGAAATAATATATTTTGGAGGTGCTTTAAAGTTACAGTGTGCATGTTTCACAGATTCACCTTGCTTTCTAATATTATGGAAGAGAAACACTTTTTTCTATCCACTTTCCCCACTTTGTGCATAATTTTATACACCTCTACCAAGTCGTCTTACTCAACTCTTAACTAAAAAACCTGAAATGCTGCTGTATTACCTCATAGGAGAGTTGCTCTTGCCCATTGATCACTGTGGTTGCCCTTTTTTGAACCTCTTCCTGCTCTACAATAGCCTTCTCGAGGTGAGGCAGCCAGAACCGCACCAAATGCCACCTCACCATAGATTTGTTACAATGAAACTCTGATATTGGCAGTTTTATTTTCAATCCTTTCTTAATGAGCCCTAACACAGAATATGGTTTTTTAAAGCTGCTGCTGCACACTGGGTCAACATCTTCAAGTTATCCACAATGACCCCAAGGTCTTACTTCTGGTCAGTTACTGCCAGATCTCCCATTGTTGTCCTGCATCCAATGGCTGGTATTCAGCGGGCATGAGGTAGCCAATGTGGTGCCTAACAGACATTATTATTATTATTATTATTATTATTATTATTATTATTATACCATCCTATACCCAGAGGTCTCAGGGCGGATCACAGAATAAAATCAAAATACAAGACCACTAAATAAATATAATATAATATAATATAATATAATATAATATAATAATAAAACTTCCCAATAACTCCCCTCCCCCCCCCCAAAAAAACCCCACACACATTTTAAAAGGGCATAGGATGTCAATCAAATCAACCAAAGTCCTGGTTAAAAAGGAACATTTTTGCCTGGCGCCTAAAGGTGTATAATGAAGGCACCAGGCAAACTTCCCTGGGGACAGCATTCCATAGATGGGGAGCCACTGCAGAGAAGGCCCTTTCTCATGTTGCCACCCTCCAGACTTCTCGAGGAAGAGGCACATGATGATCCCAGGGTTTGGATAGGTTCATAAGGAAAGAGGTGGTCCTTGTTGGTTCTTAACTCCCATTATGCTGGCTGGAGCTGATGGGAGTTCTGGTCCAATAATATCTGGAGGGCACCTCATTGAAAGTAGTCTACTCATTGTCTGAACCTGGAGGTGTCACAGAGCCATAATGGCGACACAGCATGGTACCTCACACAAACAGGTTCAATATGGAGGCTCTTCGCAATGGTAAATGACCCACCTCTTCTTCTTTTGTTTCTTTTGCCTTGCTGACATCTCTTTGCCTACTCTTTGGGACGCAGGTGGCGCTGTGGGTTAAACCACAGAGCCTAGGACTTGCCGATCCGAAGGTCGGCGGTTCGAATCCCCACGACGGGGTGAGCTCCCGTTGCTCGGTCCCTGCTCCTGCCAACCTAGCAGTTCAAAAGCACCTCAAAGTGCAAGTAGATAAATAGGTACCACTCCAGTGGGAAGGTAAACAGTGTTTCCGTGCGCTGCTCTGATTTCTGGGAGAGCCAGTGTGGTGTAGTGGTTAAGAGCAGTAGTCTCATAATCTGGGGAACCGGGTTCGCGTCTCCGCTCCTCCACATGCAGCTGCTGGGTAACCTTGGGCTAGTCACACTTCTTTGAAGTCTCTCAGCCCCACTCACCTCACAGAGTGTTTGTTGTGGGGGAGGAAGGGAAAGGAGAAAGTTAGCCCCTTTGAAACTCCTTAGGGTAGTGATAAAGCGGGATATCAAATCCAAACTCTTCTTCTTCGTCTTCTTCGTCTTCTTCTTCTTCTTCTTCGTCTTCTTCGTCTTCTTCTTCGTCTTCTTCCCACCTGGAATCCTCTTGCCTGGCATCAGCCAAGAATGTTTACAGTAAAACCATGTAGCTGGCCAGTGTGAAATTCCACAACTTTTACGGGTGATATTAAAAAGAAAAGCATAGGCAGGGAAGATAGTATCTTCTTAGATCCTCCTGACAGAAAACTGTTTGGGGAACAACACTATTTGAACGGGATGTGAAAGATACAGAATGGTTAGTCAGTAGTGCTTCTTTGCTCCCCTAACAGAGGCAGCCAATGTCCCAACCCTCTCTGGTTTTACACATTCGGCAAGAAGTCAGAACATGTTGCACAACTCAGCAAACCTTGTGTCGACCAGGATTACATAAACGTTGATGAAGACCTGAAGACACCAGCTGCGCTGCCTAATGCCTGAAAGATTATACACAGCCTACATTTACATCCAGGGAATGGCAACAGCCCCAGGTTTTATGGTTTTCAGCATGGATAATTCATACATGCGACTAGCACCTCCTCAGGCAAGCAGAGGTGAGAAAAGCTCTGAACAGAGAAAGCTGGTGACACATCAGGACTGAAGATCCCTTCACGCTAAACACTTTGTGAAGTGCAATAGCCTTCACACATCACAGCTGCTTGAAGATGAAACAGGTACACGTCCTTTTAATGTGGCTGTCATTTTCATACCCGCACAGACTTACTGAATCGGTTTTTGGGGACACAACAAAGCCATCACACCTCCAATATTCCCCCCTTCTTGATAGAATATTGTTTTATGACCACTTGTGTTTCCGTAAGTAGCCATAAAATGCTGTCAGGTCAGTTCCTGGTGGTGTGACTTGCATAGATACATACAGCACAATCCTAACAATTTCTACTCAGAAGTAAGTTCTATTGAAAGATAGGTTTCTCCAAGTACTACCTGAAGCTGAGAGATTGGAACTGGGACCTTTGGCATGCCAAGCACAAGCTCTTTCCCCTTGTTTTAAAAATTATTTCTGGCCCCCATTGCCGGGTGGAGAAAAATTTAAACCAGGCCACAAGCTATCTGAGCCAAGAACAAATAGAGTAAATGTGTCTCTGAGCAAACATAAACAGTCTTTTGAAAAATTTTAAACAATGGAAAACAGCCTAAGTAAATCTGGGGATGTTTTGGGAAAAGCAGGGCTTAAAGCAGCAATCTAATGATATTACTAGTATTTGATCAAAATCAGTACTTAAAAAACCCAGGACACAACCCATCCTAACGTAAGTATTGTATGAAAAGATTGGCATAGGGAGCAATAGAAACCCACTACACCCATTTTCCCCAGCTGGCACGCACACACGAACACGCACCCCACAATGAAAGGTCTATGTGTTCCTCTTCCCCTCTTATCACTCTCTCTCATCTGGTTCTTGAGTTATAATGCGTAAGCCCTTACGAGCTTAGGTAACAGCACAGATAACAAAGCTTTGTAAATGTTATATTCTACTATGCAGCAAGCATTTTGTAGGCATAATCTATATACAACTGAGAAAAAAGCCAAGCAAAATTCCCTAAGTTTGAGCTATATAGCACACTGAGACGTAGCTATTTGTCCAAATCTTACACCTGTTCAGGATCTCCCTCCCCCCCCCCTACTACCGAGGGAACAGTTCCATTTGAGCCAGACGACCATCCTGCTCCTGTGCTCTAAGATGGCTTCTGTGCAATCCTGCTCTGAAATGTGCAATGAAATTGGTATCCTATCCTCCAACCTGCCTAGTTGCAATTCTGTCCTCTCACTTTGTGTAGTCTCCTTTCAACATGTTATGCTTCTCTGGCCATGGTAGCCCTTGCACTTCTCCATTTCTTATGGCTGGGAGAGCTGGTCCCATTTAGGCACAAGGATAATTCAAGAGTGCAAATAGGCAGCCATGTGCCAGGCAACATCTTATGGCTTATGGTGTCGTTAAGACACCAGCCACTTGAGCGTGTAGAGCAACATCTGTGCTGCTAGGCTCATGGTCCTGTGTACTATAATCCACCTTGTGTTTGTGTTCTGATAATGGTTTTGGAGTGCACTGCGTGCGTACAACACATGACATTGTGGACAGAGAACATACACCTACTGTATATCACACAGTTTCTGTCTGCTTAATCTCTCTGATACTGCAGCTTTACCATTGCACAGGTATAGCTGAACCTTGGGGCTGGGATATACAGCAGCTGGCATCCAAGGCAGGTCGGCGACTCCTTGACATTAGACAGGAATGGAACGTCAAAATATTAATCATGGTTTAATATGTATACAAGTGAAAGGCCACAGCAAGATGCTGCTGAGAATCCAAGGATAAATGTGGAACAGAATACTTTACTCTAATTGCAGATTACCTCTGAAGAGTCAAATAAACCTGCATTAAATTGTCTCAGTAAATCAGTAATTAAAATAGGTTGGTCTCAGTCTCCTATGCAAGCTTCAATTGATAATTTAAAGGAAATTTCATAAATCTATCCAATTTACTCAGAACTCTGTCCCACTGGTTTTAATAGGCTTATTTCCTACTAAGTGAACAAAGCCTTGTAGCCTTCAACCAATCAATGGCAGCATGTCAAAGTAAGTCATTTTAAGACTCCAAGCAAAAGGCCATTATCTAAAAACAAATATGGACTATTGTGTTCTGCCAAAAATCAATTTTTCCTTAAAAGGCTAGTTTTCTCCTTTTTTTAATAAGCAAGCCCAGCAACATAAGCATCAAGCAAAAATTGTCATTTAACTTTTAGTTATGTCAATACTTAAAAGAAAGTGACACACTGCTGCACAAGTATTAAAGAACTGACTCAATGAATTTTAAAGTGTTGCTAATATGTAGACATTCCATTATACCGCTTTCATTTCCTTGGTTCAGAATGGAACCAAATTCTTCTGCAACTGAGGCTGCAATCATATACAGACCAACTAGAACCCACATTTGCACAGGACCAATAAGAAAAGCCGTGTAAAAGTTAAAACAACCCAACTTGTACAAGAGAGAATTCTGCTGTGAAATTACTTCCATATTACAAAAAGCTGGGCTACTATGAAAAGATTCCTCAGAAACATATTGTCAAATGAGAAGTTTTATTATAGCTGAATGCAGCATCACAGATATTATGATCTTGGTCTCTCTTTCTTGCCTTTGTACAATGCTAACAGAGAAACATTTGCTACTTTGACGACCTTGAAACGAACTCCTGGAATGTCACCAACAGCATGCCCTTTCCGACCAAACCCAGCAACCAGGACTTCATCGTTCTCCTACAGATAAAGTGAGAAAGCAAGTGTTTGTTCACAACAAATACACATGCATACATTTTTTAAAGCCTTTATAACTACAAGCAGCTATAATAAAGTAGTTTGGTTCAATTAATTCATTCTTTTTCTCAGTTGAACTGCGTATTATTTTCACCAATAGCACCACTTTGCTAAAACTTTTAAAGGGGTAGGTACTGTGGCTGGTTGCTGTGATTATACCATTTGCTGTATAAAGAACTATTTCTAGAGCTGTGTATATTTGTAAAACAGGAAGTGGTGGCGCTGTGGTCTAAACCACTGAGCCTCTTGGCCTTGCCAATCATAAAGTTGGAAGTTCAAATCTGCGTTTTGGGATGAGTTCCCTTTGCTTTGTCCCAGCTCCTGCCAACCAAGTAGTTCAAAAGCATACCAGTCAGAGTAGATAAATAGGTACCACTGTGGCAAGAAAGTAAATGGAGTTTCCGTGCACGCTGGCACTCGGCACAGTGTCCCATTGCACCAGAAGCGGTTTAGTCATGCTGGCCACATGACCCTGAAAGCTGTCTGAGGACAAATGCCAGTTTTCTCAGCCTGAAGCGAGATGAGTACCACACCCCATAGTCACCTTTGACTGGACTTAACTGTCCAGGGGTCCTTTAGCTTTATATTTCTAAAATGTTTTGTGCTATTTTATGTGGGTACTGGCCTGTTTAGCTCAGGAATTTGTTGTAACCTACCCTTGATTAATATGATGAAAAGTGGGTTTATTTATACAAGAAAATAAATAAATACAATAAATAACGGTTTCTGGAATATGCTTACCTCAATGAAGTTCAGACAACCATCGTTAGGAACAAAGGCTGTTATTTTCTTTCCATTCTTGATGAGCTGAACTCGGACACACTTCCTGATGGCAGAATTTGGCTGCTTAGCTTCAACACCGCTGAAACATGAAGTGGACAACATAAATGATTTGAATAATAAGTCTCTAAGTTCCATTGCTAGTTATATTTAATTCAAATTTAATAATTTTTTACTTAAACATTTCTAGGATTGTGCTGGCAGTCAGAAGACATACAGTAACTGATTCTAGACTACTTAAACCTAATTTTAAAAAATAATGAAGTGGAACATAATTTTGTAGACAGTTCAACTAAGTTTTACTCAACAATAGACCTACTAAAATTAATGAATCTTACTTAGCCATGTTCATTCATTTTATTGGGTCTGCTGTGAGTAAAGCATACCTGACGATCACCCCATATGCTAATCACAAATTTTAAAGGGGAAAAGTTACCCAATATTTTCTACCTTTAGCAATAAGAACAGAGTGACAAGAATTAAAAAAAAACCTCTCCAGAAAGTGATTCCTTTAGAACTTTTGACTGTAAAACATTTACACAGAAATTTTATCCTGCAGTTTTAGAAATAAACCAACGCTATGATATCTGTGTTACCAACAAAGCTTTCTGCATGTGTGAATGAGCATGGTTAAATAACTTAAGGATTCTCAATCTATACTTTCCTGAATTTCATTAACTTCTGGCCTGAATGTTTACATTCCCCTCCACAAAACATTACTGAGAGTCTCCTAAGTCCACTGTTATAAATGGTCTTAGATATGCCTAAGTCTGTACAGATTTGGAACAACTGGTATAATACACAAATGTTTTACTATAAGCTACAGCAATGTTTCAATACCCTCTCTGGTGCTAGGACAAAACAAGCAAACAAACCATTCGGAGTTTCTCTCTCATTAGTCCCACTAAGAAGCTTCACTCACACTTTTTCCAAGACAATTCCTTTGGCATGGGAAGCTCCCCCAAAAGGGTTGGCTTTCAAAGCAGTACCCAGATGTGCCTTCTTGTATTGTTTGTCATGCCATTTCTGGTCTCGGCGATGACTGCGCAGCTTCCTGGCTGTCCGAAGCCCACGGCACTTGCCTGAAAGGACAAAACAAATTGAGAAAGCCTTTCATCTTTAGGCACCAAGTAATGACAACTTCCCTAAGCTTGTCTTTAAAGGACTTCATTTAAACCAGCACTGCTGTAGCTTCTGATGCTTGAGCTTAAATATATGCTATTTTATTACAAAAATATATATCCTTCAGTCGTTTATATTCAGACTAGAAATCAGCAGTGTTCCCTACATGCTTGGAGGAAGCGGGAGACGTGAGTGATTTGCACCAAACCCTCCTTTTTGCTGCAGCCCCCACAAAAGCTGCAGCAGTGGGATGGAGATGGCTCAGAGCTGTTGCAGGGTCATCAGCAAAAAATGCCATCACCCTTCCTCCGCCTAAGAGTTTCTGCTGGATCCCTACAAGCGAAGATGTGAATCAATATTTCCAGTAAAATAGTAGTAATAATAATAATAATAATGAAGTAAATTCAATAATAGAATAGTGGGCAGCAGAAAATGCATAGAACGGTACTACGAAGTTTGAAAAGTTAAACAGTCCAGGAACATTTGGGGGGGGGGGAGGCGCGGGAGCTTTAACCTGAGGTGTAAAAAGTATCAAAGTAGATACCTTGGAGAAACATACCCCTGCCATAACGATTTGTTTCTGGTTGCCTTGCATTCTTTTCGCCGGCACCTTAGGCACGTGTGTGCAGAGGAGTGATAACTGCTCTGAAGGTCTTCCCCCCCCCCTCAATAAAGAAGAGCAGCCCGCAAACTGAAACGTCACGTCTGCACGGAAAACACGTGTTTGCCATGTCATTTCTTGTCTCAAGCCAGCTCGACCACGTTATTGAGAACCTCTTAACAAGGCAGCCCAGGGAAGGGGCAACTCGCGCGTCCCTAAATCCAAAACGCCCCGCTCCGCTCACCCATCTTCTTCCTCCTGCTGCAGCTGCTGCCGGTTCGCCCGAAGGAGCCTGAGAGAGAGGGAGAGAGCGAGGATGACCCACAACCCACCGCGGCAGCTTCTCGCCGAGGACCTCAATCGGGGCGTCTACTTTCGCGCCTGTCTCCCTTCCGAAACGCCTCACTGAGGTGAAAGAGGTGGCTGTGAAAACGAAGCGCCGAGCGGGTGCCGAAAGATGAAGGGTGTGTGTATGCGTGTCAAGAAATAACTTGAAGCTCCGCTGATAAATTAGGAACGTGCAGGTTTTTTTGGGGGGGGAGTCAATTTCCGGCTTTAAATAAAAGCGGCCATATTGGACGGCCTAAGAGGCGCTCTAGCCGTAGCTTCTCCGTAGTGGAAGAGGCCGCGCTCGAGAAATAAAGGCGTAAAGGAAAGGCGGAAGTCGCGACCAGAACACCGGCTACAAAGTCTTTCCACCTCTGTAATACACCCCCCATTACGTATAAGCATAGGAAAGAACGGTGTGTGTGGTCTTTTCCTTTTAATATCTGAGGGGAGGGGGGGCGGCAGAGAGGGCGCGGCCTGAGAACTACGACTCCCACAATGCATCGCGCGGCAGCCGCCATCTTTTCCAACCCGCTCAAACTTTTCCCTCCCCGGTCAGGCACCGGCTTAGGCAGCCCATTCCCGAGGTCCTCGGAGCGGGGTCTCTTTGCCGCGGTGGATTGTGGGCCTTTCTCTTTCCTCCTTGGGATCGTCGGACGGCACGATGGGTGAGTGGCTCCGAGTCGCGGGCGCCACGTTATCCCAGTGGGAGCGGCGAGGAGAGAGAGAGACCCCGCGGCCCCTGTTATGCAGGGGGAATGATGCCCTCTCCCCCTTCAGCCCTTTCTAGAGCTCCCGCAGCCGCCCGATCCTTTGAGATGTTAGGCGCACGGCCGCCTCCGACAGGCGCAGGCCTCGGAAGTCGCGCACGCGGCTTGTAATGACCGCTGGAACTCGCTGCCTCAAGATGCGGCGTTGCCCGTTAATTAAAAAGTGCGCGTAGAAAGGTCGCTCAGCGGCTAGGAGGAAGGCTGGGGAATGCTTCAACTCAGTGAAATCTAGTTGTCCACTGTAAGGAATAAGGCAGTGGAATAATTTAAGGCTTGAGGGATCAGCCCCCCGCCCCCCGTTGAAGTGCATGGCTGTATGAATCAGGGTATAAAAATAAAAGAATAGGAAATACTTCTTTGCAGGGGAAGTGCCAATCGTTATGCCTGCGAATTATTATTTGAATGGAAGAGGTGTGCAGCAGACATATCTGCGAAATCTGTGTGGTGCCATATAAACTTCCTCCAGGATTACAAGTGTTACTGCATGGAGTATCCTGGGTGAACTATTAGGAAGCTGGGGTTTGCAGTTCAGCTTACTATAGTTTACAAGATGGGCACCACGTTCCAGGTCCTGCAGTTCAAAAACTCATGTTGTGATCATAATGAATCTAGAAATGTTGTGTGTGGTTTACATGCAGATATTTGGTTCTAAAGTTGTTTGGAGTTATTTTCTCCCTTGAATTTTGAATACAGTGGTACCTCGGGTTAAGTACTTAATTCGTTCCTGAGGTCTGTTCTTAACCTGAAACTGTTCTAAACCTGAAGCACCACTTTAGCTAATGGGGCCTCCTGCTGCTGCCACGTCTCCGGAGCACAATTTCTGTTCTCATTCTGAAGCAAAGTTCTTAACCCAAGGAATTTCTGGGTTAGGTCTGTAACCTGAAGCGTATGTAACCGGAGGTACCACTGTACTTTGCATATATTGCAGAAGGAATGGATGGAACTCCAAAAGTACTAAGGATCACTACACATGCATATAGGGTTCTGAGGGTCACAATCCAGTAATGTGAACTATTTTCATTGACCAGGAGAAATATCCATCCACAAGTTTGTGGTATACGAGGTGTTAATCACAGACCACCCTATTTCCAGGTTTTATCGGCTACCACCAAGGCTTTAAAAACGATTGTGCAAGAAAAAAAGTTTTGGTATTAGAAAGTGTTCCATAAGTTTACAGTGTAGTCCCAAATATAAAGACAAAATGGGTATTGTGAATTCTGTCACACTGCAGATAGGGGGTACTAGAGTGAATTGAGGTACATGGTGGTTGGTAGTTGTATGAACTTAGGCGCATGTCTTCAGTAACCTCTAATGTACTGTTTTCTAGGCAAGTGTCGCGGACTTCGTACTGCCAGGAAGTTGCGCAGTCACCGACGTGATCAGAAGTGGCATGACAAACAATACAAGAAGGCCCATCTGGGCACTGCTTTGAAAGCCAACCCTTTTGGGGGAGCTTCCCATGCCAAAGGAATTGTCCTGGAAAAAGTGTGAGTTTCATCAAAAACACGTATAGTGTGTTCATTTGCATCTGCCAGATTTCCTGTAAAGAATTTCGTACTGCATAACAGTACTGGTGACATAAATACAGTCTAAATTGAATTGTTGATACACAAGACAGGGGAGCACTGTCAACATTTGCCTGTTTCCTGCACCTGGAAATTAGTGATTTAATTTATTCTGGCCCTTAGGAAATTTCAAGCTTGAGCCAGTCCAGGGATTAACTGATTTAAGTCAGCAGTAGGTGTTTCTACAAATAACAAATACTTGACTGTTTAGTTAGTCTTTTCATTTCAAACATATTCCATTTAGGTATTTTAACTCTTAAGGAAAAAAGTAAGATATAAAACTTGCAAAGCTTGAAGTAGAATTGCCAATTTGGGTCATCTATTGACGCGGGTGGTGCTGTGGTCTAAACCACTGAGCCTCTTGGGCTTGCTTATCAGAAGGTCGGTGGTTCGAATCCCCACAACGGGGTGAGCTTCTGTTGCTCAGTCCCAGCTCCTGCCAACATAGCAGTTCGAAAGCATATCAAAGTGCAAGTAGATAAACAGGTACCGCTCTGGCGGGAAGGTAAACGGCATTTCCGTGTGCTGCTCTGGTTTCGGTTGTTCCGTTGCACCAGATGCGGCTTAGTCATGCTGGCCACATGACCCAGAAAAACTGTCTGCAGACAAACGCCAGCTCCCTTGGCCTGTAAAGCGAGATGAGCACCGCAACCCCAGAGTCGTCTGCAACTGGACTTAACTGTCAGGGGTCCTTTACCTTTTATTGAAAGATTTAACAGCACAATCCTATTAATATCTTGTTCTCATCTAAACACAGTGAATTCAAGCTGTTCATACAAAACCAATTGATACTTTGAATAGCTTTATTTAGTTTGACTTTTGTGAAATATATCTGCTTAGAGTCAAAGTTCTAATGAATGTAGTGTTTTTTGCTGTACTAAATATACAGTGTCTATTTCTTCCTTTTTTGTGTTAGTGGCGTGGAGGCTAAGCAGCCAAATTCTGCCATCAGGAAGTGTGTCCGAGTCCAGCTGATCAAGAATGGCAAAAAAATAACTGCATTTGTTCCTAATGATGGTTGTTTGAACTTCATTGAGGTAATTTATCAAAAAAAAATACCCTAATAAAACAATATGCAAAAAAATACTCCACCCAGTTTTTACTAGTATGTTTTGCTGCTCTATGTAGTAGAAACAGGGACAATACTGCAATATTATTGTGATTTAAAGCTTTGTAATTTAATTTTATGGTGGTGACTGTAGGATAATATTTCGCACTTGAACTTGGTTTCTAAGAATCCACACTTTTCTCAAGAATGGAGATACAGTAAATGCATCTCAGCAGCTCAGGAAAAGAGACACCCCTATCCAGGGTAGCTCTTGCTAATAGGGCTGAAGGCTTTGCCAGTGAGCAGAGTGGAGGAGAATTTGGTTGGCTATAATGTTTGATACTTGCAAACTCCTTATTCGCAGCGAGAAAATAATTGACTTGTTTTGTTTTAATTCCAGGAGAACGATGAAGTTCTGGTCGCTGGCTTTGGTCGGAAAGGTCACGCTGTTGGTGACATCCCAGGAGTTCGTTTCAAGGTCGTCAAAGTAGCAAATGTTTCTCTGTTAGCCTTGTACAAAGGCAAAAAGGAGAGACCCCGGTCATAAAGTTATGTTGTTATCAAGATGATCAATAAAGTTTTCTTCTAAGAAATACCTTTGTGGTTTTTTTAAAAAGTGATTTTGGCATTATACGTAGATTGTTTAGAAATGAAAGTTCAACCTATTCTTTAATTGGGGAAGTACCTATTCTTTAATTGGGGAAGTCATTATTGGGTTATGGGTAGGTACATCCTGCAAGGGTTCCAGGTTTTGTTTAGCAGAGCTTAAGAAAGATGGTCTTGAAATATGTTTCATTTCCAAAACAAAATTTTTATCTCCCTAGTTCTAGTGTTTGAGGCATTTGTTTTATGGCAGGAGGCATGACTTGATTAATCACTACCATAAAGTTTGTATTCCAAATAACATAGCCCCTGTTTAATTCTGAGCATCAGTGATGATCAGACAATGGGTCTATCTAGTTGAGCTTCCAGTTTCTAACTACTTCACTTGAAGCACACTCAGATGACAAGTTAACTTACCACTTGGGAACTTGGGAACACTTGTGTTTACATTTTTCACTTGCTTTGCACACCTGCATTTGAATAAAGTTATAGGTGATATGATAGCCATGTTCAAATATATAAAAGGATGTCACATAGAGGAGGGAGAAAGGTTGTTTTCTGCTGCTCCAGAGAAGCGGACACGGAGCAATGGATCCAAACTACAAGAAAGAAGATTCCACCTAAACATTAGGAAGAACTTCCTGACAGTAAGAGCTGTTCGACAGTGGAATTTGCTGCCAAGGAGTGTGGTGGAGTCTCCTTCTTTGGAGGTCTTTAAGCAGAGGCTTGACAACCATATGTCAGGAGTGCTCTGATGGTGTTTCCTGCTTGGCAGGGGGTTGGACTCAATGGCCCTTGTGGTCTCTTCCAACTCTATGATTCTATGATTCTAGGTAACTTTTTAAGATCTCCTGTATCTGGCATTTGTTTTCACTGTTTGGTCAAATGAAAGGAATTGCTTTATTTACTCTGCCACAGAAACTTCCATTTGTTGGCTCTTCCCAGGTCTCCAGAACAAATAACAGTTTTTCACTTAACACAAGAGTCCTGCATGATCAGACCAAAGGCCTATAGTCCAGTATCCTGTTCTCACAGTGACCAACCAAGTGTGTATGGGGAATCCCATAAGCCAGAGAGCAATGTACCCCTCAAACTGCTAGCTGGGGAAATGCAGTAATGGCACAGGCCATTTTTAAAACAGAGTAAGCTAACCAAGGAGAATGTTTTAAAAAGAAACTACATTGTGAAATTTGTTTGGATCCATACTATCATGCCTGAAGCCATAATAATATGTTCTGTGTCTTTTGGGGATGATACTTGCAAATAAAGTAGTATCTTTATAGATGAAGTAGCATCTGGGGCTCGCTACCAGTCTTCTGTGTTTTGATGTAGCTGCAGATGTCCATGCATAAATGGAAACAGCTCTGATTCTCTTTCTCTAGCAATCTAGAAAACCCTTGTGCCTTTCTTTCTACCTTCAACCAATCAAAACACAAGCACTAAGTCCCCTTCCCACCCACCCCAGCCATGAATGGATTTTTGCTATCCATTTACTGAGACCCTTTTCAGTTCTTGGTTTCTAGTCCGTTAGGTAACTTCAGGTTTCTATTCTTTGCCACCACAACCAGCTGCCCTGAAAAGGCTGGTTCCAGCAGCACCCCCAAACTCATCTAATCATAAAAGGGACCAAAACTCCTGTTTATATTACTGCAATTTGGGGTTTCCAAATCTTGTAACATTTGCAGAAGCAAAACCATTAGATCATAACAAGTTGCATTTATGTGAGCTGCCAGATGGCCCAGGGAGCCTTTGCTTCAGAAAAGTGCAGGGAGTCTGAGTCTGGCAACCAATTTTAATAGTAGTCTCAAAAGATTACTCTAAACCTCTTGCTGATTACCTGGGTGTGTGCGTATCTCTACATATAAATTTTAGGATTCCCCAACACCCATGTTAGGGACACAGGTGGCGCTGTGGGTTAAACCACAGAGCCTAGGACTTGCCAATCAGAAGGTCGGTGGTTCAAATCCCCGCGATGGGGTGAGCTTCCATTGCTCGGTCCCTGCTTCTGCCAACCTAGCAGTTTGAAAGTGCAAGTAGATAAATAGGTACCGCTCCAGCGGGAAGGTAAACGCCGTTTCCGTGCGCTGCTCTGGTTTGCCAGAAGTGGCTTAGTCATGCTGGCCACATGACCTGGAAGCTGTACGCCGGCTCCCTTGGCCAATAAAGCGAGATGAGCGCTGCAACCTCAGAGTCGGCCACAACTGGACCTAATGGTCAGGGGTCCCTTTACCTTTAACACCCATGTTTCCAGCAGAAAGCAATGGGGAGCTTTTATTTAATAGGGTGCTGGAAATAAGAGAAAAGCATGTTGTTTCACAGATTTGGCAACGCTGCGGAGGAAATGTAAATATGTGAAGCTAAAGCTGTCCTGCTTCACGGATACAATCACTATATTGATGGCAAGAGTTAGTACACTTCCAAAGAACAGAGTAAATCAGCTTACGCTTTCAGTCTCTCGAGTAAATGCATCTTCTAATGCAATTTATGAAGAGACTGCTCTTACTGCTGCTATATTAGGCGTAGTGGTGGGAATCGTTTCTTTCGTTATCCTTTTCTTCATCAATCCTTAGCCAAAAGAGGAGCGCCATTGCTGTTGGAAACTGCTCACTCATCAGAATACAACCCCGAAGGATTGTCTGCAGTAAAAGCGCATTTACTGGCATGTTGGCAGAGAGCCGCCTTTCTGTCAGGCTGCTTGCTCTCGATTATGACACCACGGTAGCGGAAGAGGGGGAGTCATAGACATGTTCCACACGGGCAGCACTATGGATCTAGAGATGCTCAAGCCATCTTCATGCCTTGGCACAGCTTGGAGAAGATGAGGGAGCTATCCTGCCTCAGATATGTACCTGAAGGTAACAGACGATCCAGTAAGGGCTTGCCTTTCGGTTCAGCCTTGGCAGCCGCATGGGAAATCCCTCCACTTGGCCTGTCTCTTGAAAGCTACTCTCCTTAGATCATTCCATGCCAGGAGGTGGTTTCAATCTGCACGCAACCTGGCAGACACTTCCTCAGCCAGCAGTAGCAATACAAAAACTTGAGTAAATTTATGTGGCTTAGATAATCTTGGATTCGTTTTATGGTGGTTGTTGAATTCTTACCAAAATTGGAAAGCAAGGTTTTAGAGTCGTTACAGAATGGACTACAGGGGTACCTTGGGTTACATACACTTCAGGTTACAGACTCCACTAACCCAGAAATAGTACCTTGGGTTAAGAACTTTGCTTCAGGCTGAGAACAGAAATCGCACAGCGGCAGCACTAGGCCTCATTAGCTAAAGTGGTACCTCAAGTTAAGAACAGTTTCAGGTTAAGAACGGACCTCCGGAACGAATTAAATACTTAACCCGAGGTACCACTGTATTTGGAAAACAAAAGAGGGGGGAGTTGTGTGTTAAGTCTGTGAACGATGAATTCACGGTTATTTGGCTTCATAATGTAGGCCAGGGATAGCCAACATGGCACCCTCCAGATGTTTTTTGGACTACAACTCCCATCATCCCTGACTATTGTCCATGCTAGCTGGAGCCGATGATAGTTGTAGTCCAAAACATCTGAAGGCCTAGCCATTCAACGATCAGCTTTACGGCATTTGTCTACTCATTAGTAAGTCCCACTAAGTTCAGTGTGACTTTCTCCCTGGCAAGTGAGTAAAAGATGGCAGCCTTAACTTATTGCTAAGTTCAGCATATCATCTGCTCCAGACAGAACCATCTACAGCCAGAGAAAAATGTTGGGGCTGCCCCTCCCTCACTTTCCCTAGGGTTGCTTTTTGTAAAAAATGGTCTGTGTGCCCTGATGGAAGGCAGAGGTGAGGGCCAGGAAGTTGGTTCCTTCTGCTCCCCCACAGACCATCAGTCAGCCTGAGAAGACTCTATCTCTCTACATCTCATACCATTTCTTTGTTTTCCTGTTTGAAAATGGGAAGCTGCCTTATGTGCCTTGGCAGAAAGGTGATCTGTAGTTGTAGTAAATATATAATAAATAACCACCCACATGTTTTCCAAGGGACAATGATGTTTGGGAAACCCCTCATAAAAAGGTAGTTTCTGCTACAGTACTGTTGAGATACCAGCTGCTATCTGAAGGGACAATAACTCATTATCCCATGCTGATATTGCTACAGCGGTAATCAGAATAGGGTAAGATTTTTTTTAGCGTTCCAACAAGTTGTACGTACTGTATATTCATGCCTTCGTTTTTATCAGGTTTGCTGCTGTTATTTTACTGTTTTAATTGTGCTTTTATATGCTGTAACCTGCCCTCTGGGGCCTTCTGTTGACAAGTGGGGAAGAAACACAATAGAGAACAGCAATAAAAAGAAAACAATCGTTTTTTTGAGAATTTGTTCTGATATATTTGTGGAGAGGTTATATGATGCCACACCAAATAACTGTTACCCACATTTGCCAGTGCATTTCCCCAGCACTTTCCTTAGTGCAAAAAGTCTGGAGCTTTTTCCTTCTTTGTTGTATTTTGTGTGTGTGTGTGTGTGTGTGTGTGTACATATATATGAGTGCCAAATTTACTTGAATTATGTGATCTGTATTTGCCAGTAAGCAATCAAATCTCCTCTGCAAAATACCAATGGTCTGGAAATGGCTCAAGAACATCAATAGTGTTGCACACCACCTCAATCTGAGCAGTACAAACTTCTAGGGGTTCAAGGCATGCTTTTCCTAGGCCCTGTGTTTGCTTTTGGAAAATATATGTTTATTTGCACATATATACAACCTGAGCTTACAATGAAAGGGAACCCAGCATTAACACCCCAAGAGGTCCTGGCTTCTCCCATAGCCACAGCAGCCTTGGACTTAAGCAGACCCTAAAAATTGCTCTCAAAAGTTGCTCTCTGTCTGCTTACAAACTCTGTTGCATAACTCCTAACTACAGTCCTAAACTCTCTAACCTAAAACACGACATTGTCTTTTAAGCTAAGGGTGGACTTACACACAGGAAAAAACTGCTATAAATAAGTCAGAAATGAAATTGT